AAAAACAATGGTGATTAATTCATTTATTATGGGTGAGAGGTCACTTCTTGTCTTCATCATTTTTACCAGCTCTTCCACCAGTTTCAGGGTGAGCTGCCAGCTAGTTTATGAAAGTTTTTAGTGAATGATGAAGTCCATAGTTATGAATTCTCCAGTGGTGGATCCATATTGGAGCTCCTTGGCACTGCAGTGTTGAGTGTATCTGGGCAAGAGACCTTGTGCCGTCCACGACCATTTTCTGGGCATTTCACTCCCTGATCCCTCCTCCCTTTCCAAGGGAAAATCCTGTGTTGGCAGAGAAGGAGAGGGCTAGTTACTTAATGGGGGGAAAGGGGAAAGCTAGCTTAAATATATATATATATATAAGTAGGGGGCTGAATTTTAGGACCCTCTTGTTTGTGGGAGAGCCAGTTTGGTGTAGTGGTTAAGGCACTGGGCTGGGAACCAGGTGGCTGTGAGTTCTAGTCCTGCCTTAGGCACAAAGGCAGCTGGGTGACCCTGGGCCACTCACTCTTTCTCAGCCTAGGAAGAAGGCAAGGGCAAACCACCTCTGAAAAACCTTGCCAAGAAAACTGCAGGGGCTAGTCCAGGCAGTCGCCAGGAGTCAACACTGACTCGAACACAGGAGTGTTTGTGGAGTCCTGGACCGCTGCCCGGGGGCCAAGCCCTAGTTGTATCATTATCTGCTGCTCCTGCAGCATAAACACTCACAAGCTTGCATCAGTCATGCAAAATAAGGGTATCTGATTCATCTTAGCTGCAGAGGCTTTCCCAGGTGAGCATCACCTGATGGCGTCTCACTGTGCGCTCTGGGACTCTCACTTGGTCGCAAACAGTAGTCGTTATGGCAATCTGCTCCCAGCAGAGCTGATTGCGCTCTCTCTGGGCCTTCTTGGCAGTTTGGTTTGGGTTCTTCTGAAGCACGTGAAGTTTTGACTGCCCACATTGATTGTCGGGGTCTGGAGAAAAGAAGTTTGCTTCTTGAGAAGGAAGAAAGCAGTCAGTTGCCAAGCCAAGCAGAACTTAGCATGAGCCACCTGCCAGATCCCCTCCAAGACCTTCTCCTGGGGAAGTGGGGTTCTCTCCCATGCCGCTGGCCCCCCAATATCCTCAGGATCTTCCTGAGTTCAACCCCAGGTAACTAATCTTTTAATGGGGCTGGGGAAAAGTAGGAAAACTGGGAAACTGGAACTGACAGCCTTACTACAGCTCCCCTGATCTGGTCTGTAGGGAAATGCAGAAAGCAGAAGGGGTCTGTTAGAGCTGAGCATAAGCTATAGTTAATGAAAGCCTATGGTTTTTAATAAAAGTGGTTAGTCTGAAAAGGGGTTTCCAGACTCCTTCTGATTTGGGGCCACCATAGAGAAATATGGCTCTCCTCCTGCAAGGACTGCAGATGTGAGCACAGGCTGGAGACAGGAGATGCTGTGGGTGTCACTTTAGAGCACTTTAGCACTTTAGAGAGAATGAAGTAAATTTATTCTGACTGAGCACACAGTAACATTTGAAACACTAAGCAACTTAATTTAAAATGTAAATCAGTGGTGCATTTTAGCTGATTCACCCAATCTGCATATGTTTGCAGAAGATGGCAAGCATTCTCTCTCAATTATGAAGCCTGTTTTCTTTTTGTTATTTTAAGTAGGACATCTGTCAGGGCATCAGGAGAAGCATTTTGCTCGTTGTGTGGGTGTGTAAGAGAAAGTAGGTGGCTGCAAGTATTGTACTTATAAGTGCTTGCATTTTTTATAGTTTTAATCATCTGCCCAATTCAGGAGACATCTCTACTCAATGGAACGGTTTAAACTGAATTACAGCAGTGATATCCTTGGGCACTGCCACCCCATTATATCACAAAATCAGCCATGTAAATCAAGCAGGAATGACTGCCCTCATTTTTGTAACACAGGAGGAGAGTTCAGCGAAGGCAAAGGGAAATCAGCTTGGCTAAAGTGAGCAGGGATGTTTGTGACAATGGCAAGATGGATTCACAACGTGGATTTACATTTTACTACATGTTGGTAACTTGGGGAGACCTTATGCTTCAGTTCTCAGCCTGCACACTGCTTAGGTCAGGGTTCTTCAACCTTGGCAACCTTGGCAACTTTAAGATGGGTGGACTTCAACTTTTGTTGAAGTCCACCCGTCTTAAAGTTGCCAAGGTTGAGGAACCCTGGCTTAGGTGACTGGGAATTGAAACCAGAGCACCTTTGGAGTGTGGCAGGTTAGAAAAAGTTGCAATCACCCTTAAGTTCCAGCATACCAAGAACACTGGTTTCTTCAACCCACCCACATCTGCTCCAATTATACCTACAGCAAACTGACTGCACTGTCTTAATCCAGCAATATTACTCCAACTGTGGAGTCCTTGGGGTTCTCTGAGCTAATCCAACCCTTTGGTTCTACCTCTTGCTCAGCCTATATTAAAGGGTTAATCCAATCCTTTGGTTGTCCAGATTTTGATTAAAGGGTTAATCCAACTCTTTGGTTGTCCCTCTTGCTAACCTTCCTGCCCCCTCTCTGCCCAATTCCTGTTCCTCCGAAGCACCTCTTCTCCACCATCTTAATCCAGCCTTCCTGCTTTCTCTTCCCAGGTATTTTTTGACATCTTCTTGGGTGGCCTCCCTGTCCTTAGTAGTTATAACACAAAGCCCCTTGTTAATGTTAAGGATCACAATGTTTGGGAGCTTACTCTTATTTCCTTTCTCTTCCACACTTTTCAAGCCTCTGTTACTTAGCATTCTTCTCTCTCGTGTTCCAAGCTATCCAGGAACATGATCTTGCTACAACCTTACAGCAGCCTGGATTGAGCTAAATTTATTATCCAATATTGCCAAGGTGGCAACTGATGCTGAGGAGAGGGGTCTGCAGGTTAGGGCACCAATGAACACTTGGCAAGACAAAATACTTTTTAACAAATCAACAAAAATAGGGTATAAAATAGGCACATTGAGCTTCTAATAGGCTTAATGCACCTACTTGACTGAGAAATAAAATCCCAACCCCTTCAAAAACAGGCTGAAAATTTCACTCTGTCTAAGGATGATCCAATTTGGTATAGTGGTTAAAGGCATCAGGCTAGAAACCAGAAGACTGTGAGTTCTAATTCTGCCTTAGTCATGAAGCTGGGTGACTTCCTCTCCACCTGAAAATGCTGCCAAGAAAACTGCATGAACTTGTCTGGGAAATCACAAGGCATCAAGACTGACTCAAAGCACGCAGACATGCACACAAAAGATGATATCGCTACATTACCACTATGCGCCCGGTTCCCTTGGAAGCCTACCAGATAAAAAATGCCATTTCGACAGAATGCCCCTTTGTTTAATTGACATTATGTTTAATCTTTGTTTAAGGCTTCCCTGTATTCTAACTATCAAAACATGTGGCAGCACTAACCCATCTGGTTAATCTCGAAAAAGCTAAGCAACTTTGGACCTGATGAATACTTGGACGGAGGCTACTAGGAGATCTAAGATCATGGACTACATTGCAGGCATTGGCAAATTGTTATTGTTGCCTACGAGAAATCACCAGGAGTCAAGTTTGATTCAAGGGATACTTAATCACAGATATTATCTGTAAAGTCACCAGGACTTAACCTTCACCAAGGGGAATCTTTAGCCTTACCTTTTATATCCTAATATGTCTTCCCCATCCTTCCCACCACGCACCTGTTTCTAGGGACTATATAAAATGTTAATCCCAGCCCATTCTTGTTTTCCAGCTCCACTACCCACCCACCCGTCCCTTGATCCTGAAATGCTGTGTTCTCTTAAAGACTGAAAATGTGGATGAATTAATTTGCATCATTGCTCCAGCCAGATGGCACTAGAACTGGACAATACTGCATTGCGATGATAATTCAGTAAGCAGCTGGCTTCCAGGAATATAGTATGCAAAATTCCAAGTGCATAGACCAAGATCTGAATATGGAAACTTCCCGTTGACAAAGGATTAATGGCCCACAAAATTTGTCTTGGTTTATCCAAGCAGTTAAACTAAAAAAAATGACAGAAGTAGCTGTAAAAGATAAGAATGCTGATGGGTGATTAATGTTGCAGAAATGACTGTACCTGGGGAAAAAAAAAATCCAGGTTAAACCATTACCATTGTCAAGATTAGATAGTAGGGAATGGGAAAGATTTCCTATCTGAGAAAGTGGATTGCCACTGCTAATCAGATGGGCATAATGGAGAAATAATCGGATGGAGTGTAACTCAACTTCTTTTTCATCCCTAACGTGGTATCAGGGTTGGAGTGTTAAATAAGTTGCATAGCCAGTTAAAATAGTCCTTGTGGAAAGTTCTTCCTGTTCTCAAGTTATACTTTTATCACATAACCAAATGAAGCACACCATCAGAGGAATAGATACAGCTTGGAACAGGCTTCTTTTCAAAAGCATTTGGGAGGATAATATACCAGGTGAGCTGAGATCACCAAGTTCCTTGAAAAAAATCTGTTTCTCCCTGCTCATGAGTCTTTTCTTACGGGACTAGGAATCCTTACTGTAATTCAGCTATTGCTACATGGATATAATATCCTGGCAGAATAGTGATATGTCTTCCAGATCCCCCCAAATTTGCGGTCTTAGGAGGCTAATGAAATGTATTGTCCTTACTGTTGCGGAAAAGATTATTTTGAGGGTTAGCTGATGAATAGTCATTGGCATTATTTCCCACCCTCCCTGCTAAAATACAGACCTTTTCCTCAGAAATCTACCTATGACTGGGCTAGCCATATGAATACACCTCCCTGAAAACAGTAGCATAGAGCATGATAAAATGTATGTGCTGTTTACAGCTCTCTGGCAGCTGAAGCAGGAGAAACTAGGCATTGTGCAGTGCATAAAGGATCCCAAAGCACTGTTTAAGTCACAGACTGGGAACAAGAGAACACCAGCATGATGGGAACAAGAGTGCACAATGGGATTGCCAGGGGCATTCAAGAGATGATGTCCAATGCTAGTCAGCAAAGGACCCAATTCTTCCATTGCAGATATGGCAGCAGAAAGGGAAGCCTTGATGGAGATGGCATATCCAGAAGTGCAAGTCTTCTGCCAAAAGCATGGCTTGATGTTTGAGGTAAGCTGGAAGTAGCAGTTGTGGAGAACATGTGCAACTCAAGGTTGAAATGTAAGGATCTTGGTGTTCACTCAGCTTGGCTTTTTTCTGGCAAAAAAAGGTTTCATTACCAAACGAGGTAACATCTTTTGAAGCTTAAAAGCCAGTCCACCCTTGTGACAAAGCATTGATGTTACTTAGTTTGGTGATGAAACTTTGCAAGAAGGACACCTAGATCAGCAAATGCCAAGATTTCAATGTAAGCTTGAAGCTCTGAAGCTCAGTATCACTGGCCTTCAACCTGGGGGCGTTGTTTGCTATTATTTGGGTTCCTGAAAGCCTCCAGAATTGTTTTTTTGGCACATTTGTGAAAATTTACTCTTTGGTAGATAATAATTATGATGATAGTGAAAAAGATGAATATCTCATGTTCAGAGGTAGTGCAATGTCACCAAATGCAAGGGGCAAACAATAAAGAAAAGTCCCATCGCCTTGTGAGTTCCCAAAGACTCTGTTGCGTCAGGCTAGATCCATTCTTGATTTATTCCAGTGCAGCAATTTGCATGTTTATGTTCACAGCACAACAGTCAAAACAGTCAATATAAAAGAATTACTCCGAACAATGCTTGAAAAAGTTGTGGTTAATTTCATGTATATACTATTCTTCCTCTTACAAGATCTAACAAATTTGTAGTTGTACCTGCTACAAAGAAGGCTAATTGACAGTTCCCAGTACATTTTCCTTCTCTGAACAGAAAGCGGGAAGAAACAAAGAAATGTTTGCTACCTTGCAAACATGCCAATCTCAGAGTTCTGCCATCTGACCCTTTAGCTGCGTAATAGTCATTTATCTAATTTAATGAAAATGGGGACAAATGTTTCCAGATGATGTTGTCTGCCAGCCAATTGCCATGATCCATCCTCAAATCTACTCTAGATTATTGATTTAAGATGGGGCACCTTTGATCACATGGGCACTGGCCATACATCTACCCAACTCTTTTTGGAGGAAATCAAACGCTGCCAGAAACTTTCTGTGGGTTCCAGCTTCATTGTAAGTACTATCTTTATTTTATTCCATCTGTCTAGGGAAGGCAGCTGGGCCATAGAGTGATCAGAGATAACACTGCTACTATTTTACTGCCTGATGACGTTGTAGGAATGAAGGAAAGGTGGTACAGGAATCTTTACAGAAAAGATAAATAAATAAATGGAGGCACTGGTGGTGGGACAGGGAGAAGAAAGAGCACTGCTAAATAGTACCTTCTCTGCCTGGCGCCTGCTCTCTGGAATGAGATCCCCCCAGTGATCCAGATGGCTCCACCCTGATTACATTCAGGAAGCTACAGGTAGTTCTTACTTAACAACCATTTGTTTAGTGACTGTTCAAAGTTACAATGGTGCTAAAAAAAGTGACTTATGACCAGTCCTTGCACTTACGACCATCGCAGCATCCCCACTATCACATGATCAAAATTTGGGCACTTGGCAACCAGCTCACACTTACCACGATTGCAGCGTCCTGGGGTCACGTGATCTCCATTTGTGACCTTCCCAGGGAGCTTCTGACAAGCAAAGTCAATGGGGGAAGCTGGATTCGCTTAATGACCACAGTGATTCACTTAATGGCCACTGCAAAAAAGGTCGTAAAATTGGGTCCAGTTTGCTTAACAACTCTGCTTAACAACCAATTTTCCAGTCCCTATTGTGGTCATTAAGCAAGGACTCCCTGTATTAAAGATCTGGCTATACAACCAGGTCCTGAAACAGAGTGATGCTTGAACCCCTGTTGGCCGTGTTTTTGGTTTATATGTTTGTCTTTAGGCCATTCATTATTTTTTTTCTTTTGTTGTATTTTTCCTGCTTTTTAAATTGTAAGCTGCCCAGAGTCATTAGGAGTCAGGTACACTGTATAAACTGTATAAATCACACACCAAAACATATATGTATTCTTTTGTTAGTAAGCAACCTAGAGAAAGGAAAGTGTCTCTGCTTTACCAATGGCTCTGACCAAGAATATTTAAAAAGTATATAAATTGCCATCTTCTTTTTATAGGAATAAAATTAAGCTATTTTTTAGCCATGGTTATATTTGCAATATGTTATGGACACACTTACAAAATCCTGCCATGTGCGGTCTTGTAATGGTATAAAAGAAAAGGAGGGGAGAAATACTTTCAGACTTGCAAGATTCTGTTAATGTAACCTTACAATAAAGATAGAGTTAGTACTCACAGTTGTCTTTCTTGTCTGGACTACTCAAAGGGCAAGACTGAAAATCTCTCCCCTTCTTTCCTTTTACTCTCTGAAAAACTAGGGAGGGTTCCTTCTGAAATGCTTCCCACAACCCCTCTCCTTCTGTGGGCTGAGATATCTTTCACATGCTGGTTGTCCAATCTACAGTTCTTCTTCCTGTCTCCTGAGGTCATTCCCACATACCATTACAGGTCTTGTCTGTTCATTAACAGATGATTTATTGTAAAGATAGGCAGCACAATGTGCTTACTGATATTTCTATAGTCCGCTATGGAAATTTTAATACATATTTTAAAGATCATCTTCTTGGCCACTTTTTCTAGAAGATTATTGTTAGGTAGCACTTGGCATGAATTCTCACTCCATCTAATTTAGTGGCTGTATGACCCAAAAATAAAGAAGTAAGGGCTTGTTTCTATTATTCTGTAAGGCACAAATGCTCAAGATTTTTGTTATTGTTGTTGAAACATAGCCCATTTGAACTGTTTTAACTGAACACTCCAAATTGATTATTTTGTCTGCTCTGTAATGCCTTTTGGCCCAAGTAACAAAATCTTAGTAATCTGATATGGTCCTTTTTGTGAGGATTCAGTTGAGATTCATAGCTTCTGGATGGTTCTGGAACAGGAGGAAAGGAGGAATGATGCAAAGGGAATTACAAGCATGAAAATCCAGTAGTCCAAAAGGCATTTCTCATACAAGTTCCCAATGGAGACAAGAAAGCTCCTTGGTCCAACTTGGATTTTCAGGTCATCCCAGCTTATATCTTCGGAAGAATTACTGAGAAAACTTCTTTGCTCCAGGCACTGCTTGGAAGCGATTATGGCCGATGCCCCACTCCCCTGACCATTGGGGAACTGGAATTTGAGGCCCTTAGACAGCAACTTCTGGAAGAGCCCAAGACCTTGCAGCTTCTGGCCCAATGGTACCTGAAGGATGAGAATGCCATCCCTCCTGTGTATGTTCTGCAGCAATCATCTCAGGCAAGCCCAGATGGCCTGGAGGAAAACTTGCTCTTGGTCCTTCGTGGGGCAGCCTGCCAAGCAGAAAAGCATGGGCTCATCAGCCAGGAGCAATTGCTGAATTACCACAAGTCAGGTATGTTTCCCAGATGAGAGGTCTCTCTATGGTATACCTTGCTAGGTTCTTGAGGTACTGTTTGAACAAAACAGAAGGTTCTCTACATAAATTTAGACTTTATATCACCAGGTTAAGATCCTATCTTTCAGTCCATGATGGTGTTGAACCTAAACCTAACCCAATAGATGTGCCATCTATAAGAACAACTGTTCCAATTCATTTACAGAATTCACTGCAATAAGACAAAGCAGTGACCACTGGCTTATTTGGCTTTTAGGGAGGAGGAGGAGGAGGAGGAGGAGGAGGGCTTGCAATGATTACTAGCCAGGATGTCTACTTGCAACCTCCATGTTCAGCAGCAATCAACATCCCACCTATAGAGGCATAGTCCCCTGGGCCATCTGCTTGAAAGAAGATGTTCAACTATATGAACCCAACTTAGCTGAACCAGCAGGGTTCTTCTTATTCTAACAGTGGCCCAATGTTCACCTTGTAGGATAACCTTTCCTATTGTGGGGTCCTCCAGAAATGTTTGATTTCAAATATCATTAGGTTGGGGAAAGCTGTTTTATGGACAGATATATATAAAAAAAGTAACCAAAGAAGAGTGCTGTGGATCTCTTATGGCATGTCCCTGTTAGAATTCATAGTTTTCTAGCTAGGAAGGAGAATTGCATTTCATTTATCTAGGCAGTGACAATACCAGGCATGGATCTGTAGTCCTACATCTGAAGATTTCCTAATATCAATCCAAATTTGCCTTTTTCCTCTTTTATTTTACTTGGTTATGCAATAGATGTCCTTCCTGTTGCCTCACCTCCTTCTCCTTCCTCTCTTGGAGGCCCCTTGGAGAAAATAAGGACACTGCTATACTGCCATTGTTCCCACTTCCCTATCCTTCAGAAGGAGTTTGAAATCTTCTTGCAATTATTTTCACCACTATTGCTTTCAAAACACAAGCAACATGCAGAGAGTACTTTGAGCCAACAGAAAAACACAGAAAATGTAGTCAGTGTCCCACTCTGAACTACGGCCACCTCAGAGTAGCTCTGAGTTGCTTCCTTCCTCCTTTCTCCTCTCCAGAAAGGAGAAGAAATAAATAAATCGATAGAACCTCCACAATCCTAATTTTCAGGCATGTAGGGGAAAGCTTCTTGGCTGCAAAGCCACCCTCCTTCTACAAAGCCATTACTCTTGCTATGTAAAATGCCCACTAAAA